TGTGCCATTTACATTTTCACCAACACTGTCTGAGAATTCTCATTTCTTCATCTTTCTTTTAACATTTATTATTGTATGGTTTTTTAATACTAATCCGGTGGTTGTGAGGTGGTATCTTTTTTTTTTTTTAAAGAGAGAGGAGAGAGAGAGAGAGAGAGAGAGAGAGAGAGAGAGAGAGAGAGAGAGAATTTTTAATATTTATTTTTTAGTTTTCGGTGGACACAACATCTTTGTTGGTATGTGGTGCTGAGGATCGAACCCGGGCTGCACGCATGCCAGGCGAGCGCGCTACCGCTTGAGCCACATTCTCAGCCCCAATGAGGTGGTATCTTAAGGTGATTTTGATTTCCTTTTCCCTAATGACTAAGGATGATGAGCATTCTTTAATGTTTTAGTCATTTCGTATATCATCTTTCAAGAAATATTCATTATAATCCCCCACCCTCCAGTGGTGCTGTGAGTCAAACCCACAGCCATGTGTATGATAGGTAAGTTGCAAGTTGCTCCACCACTAAGCTACTCCCTGTCCTTTACTCATTTTTTAAAAATTTAATTCATTTTAACTTTTTTTTTCCCTTAAATTTTTGGTGCTGGGAATTTCACTCAGGGTCTGTGCATGATAGGGAAGGGTCCTACCACCGATCTATACTCCAGCCTCCTAAATTGTTGTTTTAAAAAAATATATTTTAGTTGTAGTGGACACAGTACCTTTATTTTATTTATTGATTTTTATGTGGTGCTGAGGATCGAACCCAGGTCCTCACACATGGTAGGCTAGCGCTTTACCCCTGAGCCACAACCCCTGCCCTTGTTTTGTCTTTTTATTGTTTAGTTTTATATTCTAGATACCAGCCCATTTTAATTATATGATTTGCAAATACTTTCTTTCCATTCAGGGGGCATGTTGTATTTCTTGGTAATACCGTTTGAAGCATAAAGGTTCTGAGTTGTAATGAAGTTCAGCTTATCTGTTTTTCCCCCCCTGCTATAAATGCTTATGCTTTTGGTGTTGTATGTAAGAAACATTGCCTAACCCCCAAGATCATGAAAATTAACTCCTGTTTGCTCAACTGCTCCAGAGTTACATAGTCCTGGGTATATAGGTATCTATTTGTCCAGTACCATCTGTTGGAAGGACTATTGTGTTTCGTCATTTAATTGTCTTCATACCCTTGTTGAAATATTTCTGGATCCTCCCCAGTCCCGTGGCTATTTGTATGTGCTTCTAGTAACTCTCATATAAAATAAATTCTTGAGGGGTTTCATTAGGATTAATGGGAGTTGTTTCTTTTCTGACCTTCATGAGAATGTGCTTGGTTAGATAATCTGTCACCTCTCAATTTTTTTTTTTTTTTTTAGATTTAACCAGCTTTTGCATTATTCTAGAAACCTCTTTTAGAGATTAGAGATTTAGAAGGTGACTTGAAGATGGTGTGGCATGGCTTCTTTGTGTCTGCCTGAGGGAAACTTACCTATGTAAGTTTCTCCTGTATCGTAGGCAGTAGCAGGATGAATGGGTTGAAGAAGAATCAGTGATTGGAGCTACAGCATTTGGCTGTTGAACCAGTACTTACTATTATGAGTTGAACGATTTGAGAGTCTGTGCTAATTGCTACATAGTAGGTCAGTAAGAGAAGCTTTTGAAAAAAGAATTACTGATATGAACAGGCATCTGTGAGCAGAGCTGCCACTGTGGTACAGGTTGAATCCAGAGTCTAGAATAGTACCATCCAGTGGAAATACATTTTGTGCCTTCCTGTAATATGAGATTCCAGTGGCCACATTCAAAAAAAAGTAAAAGAATTAAGTGAAATTAATAATATACTTTAACTAATGTACAAAAAATGATAACATGTAATAATTACTAATATTTTACTTTTTTGTACAAAGTCTTAGAAATCTAGTATGTATTTTATATTTACAGCAAATTCAATTTTGATCTAGACACATTTCAAATGCCTGTTATCCACCTGTGACCAGTGACTAATGTATTGGGTGTCCAGTTCTAGATATTTTGATATTACAGCCAGTTGAGCTGTTACATCAACATTACTCAGTGTTCTCTCTACTTCATGATATCCTGACTTCAGACTTTTAACTTAACTTAGTAGCACTGGCCTTTGAGGWGCATTCTCACTGGCAGAATGTAAAATGACTGCTCACTTAGACCAGAGGGTCTGAGAATTTTGTTACGCTATTTTGGCAGCTCAGCATTTTGGTAAATGAGACACACTTTATGATGAATGTGCCCAAGTCTCTGACATGAGAGGAAATGGACAATGAAAATTTTATTCTGTTCTCCCAGATAYAGTCTGTTCCACTGAAGAAAATAGAAAATATCACTAGTGCAGTGGTTCTCAGTTGGAATGATCCCCCCACCTTCTAACACACTTGGGCATTTTTTTATATTTGGACATATTTTTGGTGGTCACAGTAGGGTGTGTGTATGTGCGCTACTGACATGTAGGGGCTAAAGGCCTGGAATAGTGATAAGTATTCTACAATGCACCAAACAGTTCCCACAACAATTAATTACTTGGCCCAGGTGTGAATAGTGCTGAGCATAGTGGTGTGCTGCACTAGATCTGGATCTTTCTTTTGTTGTTAAATCATTTCTACAGTGAATACAATGTGCTTTACATTTAGAGAATCAACTCACTTTGTTTTCATGTAAAATTTCTAAGTTAGGAAAAATAGCTTTCAAAATACATCTGATTGAGCCAATCTGTTAGGTAGATTTTTGCCTATACCCCTGGAGCATGGGTCTGGAAGCAGCTTTCTGTCAAGCAGGGAACAGCAGTGTTCCTCGAAATTGTTTCTCATTCTTCCCTTAGTGGAAGTGGTAAGACTGTTGCAGTCCCTGCCTGCTTCCCCTTCTTTAGAACTCCCCTATGCCTGGGACTACTTTGAGCTCGGCTATATCTGTTAAAAAGAAAATGAGCTTTTATAAGACTGCCAGAAAGATTATTACACTTCCCTAACACCTATTAGAATTTCTGGATATATTGTGAAAGTCATGTGTGTGTATGTGTGACTGTTCCCTTTTAGTGCCCCATCATGACTGACAGGTAATTCAGAATGTTGTCACTGCCACACTTTTAATATCTGTTACCTAGGGAGCTGTAACTTTAGGAGTCTTCATAAGATTAAGCAAGCAGAAATCAGTGCAGTCACATTTTACTTTCTTTAGCTGACCTGCCAAAGGTAATCATACTTGCTAGCAAGTATGTGCTTCACTTTACCTGTTGTGTATGATCCCTTCTCTTTCCTCATGATATTTGATGTTTCTGCTGCCTCTCATCCTTGTCCCTTTGTCTCAGTTGTGGCAGTTTGAGCTTTTGATGGCAAGCCACATGCATTAATAGCTATTGTTAGCTTGGGCAATGTAGTAGAGGGAGTGTGAGATTGGGGAAGGACATAACCCCAGCCCAGGGCAATGACTTTTTTAAAGAAAGAAAGAAAGAAAGAAAGATAGGGGCAGTGGTTAGGGCACTCCTCTATTTCTGATTTTTTAAATCAGTTAAGGATGACCTTGGCTCCTGTGACACATCACCTTGTCAAGATTCCAGTGCTGGAGAGTGAGCCTTGGCTTTATTAGGCTCTCCTAAAGTGAGGAGGGAAAAGATCTGGGATCATCTTTTGGTCAGCAGCCCCAAAGAAAATCCAGGTGCCATTTTGAAGCTACTGAGATTCCTCTTATTCCCCATAACTAGGGAAACCCCTCCCCACATCATCCTACTGATAATGCCTCTGGGGAATACCCTCATTAGCCCAAGCTCTTGCACCTGCCACAAATATCTGCTCCCACCCTACTTTTCACCCAGATCTCCAAGACTAGTTCAGGAGAGCAGTGGTGGCTCTATTAGGAGGGCAGCTTAAGAGACAGATGGGCTTCTGGCATCCAAGTAGAGACATTAGTGTTTTCCACATTGAGACATGATTAGAAATAGCAATTAACTTTCATATCAAGTACAAGTTTGATTTTATAGAATCCCATTATGAATGTTTTGCTTTTAAGAAAATGTAATTAATATGTGTGTGTCTTTCTAGATTTTTCAAATTTTGCATTTTTAAGACCGAAGACTTTTCTTGTTTTATAGGTTTTTGTATTCTTTGTAAAAGAGTATATTAAATATCATTGAACCTTTTTGGGACAATTACAAATGGCCTTTGCAAATCTTGTACCTCTAGGAACTGTATTTGTGTTTGACCAAGAGTAGATCTATTTTTTATTTTAGTTATTTAATTAATTATTTTGGGGACTGAAGATTGAACCCAGGGGCATTTACCACTGAGCTCCATCCCCAGCTTTTAAAATTCTTATTTTGAGACAGGGTCTTGCTAAGTTGTTTCAGACCGCACTAAGTTGCTGAATCTGGCCTYGAACTTATTAGATCCTCCTGCCTCAGCCTCCTGAGTTGCTGGAGATTTATTTTTTAATTTCCAATTTGGGCCAATGTTCTTGATAAGTAAAATTGATAGATAACTAAATTCTTAAGTGAAAATAGTGAAAATAACTGTAACTGTACTTTAGGTACAGTATGTGTTAATTACCTTTTATGAGTTATTCTAGAAACATAATTTCCTTCTACTTCTATGGGAAGGAAATTCTGATTTTCAAACAGGAGAAAACAAACTCCTTTATAAACTAGTGCTGCTTGCACCTCTTTATAGTTGCTGTGGCATGTTTTCTAACTAATTAAAGCTGTATAGCATGGGATGCTCTTTCATTTCAATCAATTTCACAGCATTGTCAAGAAATATTGAAGTTCTGAGTGAAAAGATGCCTATAAAAATGCTCTTTAGTTAATATGAGTAGTCCCCCCATTTATATATTGATATACTACTTGAATTCAATCAAAATGGATGAAGTGACATAAATCAGCATTTATTCTTAGCATGTGACAAGTTTTCTTTTCCTATATTAAGAAACTCCCATATGTATCCATAATGCAAGATTTACTTCTGAGTAAATAGGTGTTTTCTTTCCACTGTTTCAGGCCGGAGCCTCAACAGAAAGCTCCTTTAGTTCCTCCTCCACCACCACCGCCACCTCCACCACCACCGCTGCCAGACCCCACACCCCCAGAGCCAGAGGAGGAGATCCTGGGATCAGATGATGAGGAACAAGAGGACCCTGCAGATTACTGCAAAGGTGATGTGTGGGCATGGCTGTGCAGACACAGCAGCCGGGCCTGTTTTTCTCACTCAGTCACCCAGTAACTTGGGGAATGGATGTGGAGAGGCATACTGCTTGGGCTTAATTAAAATTAGCCTCCTTGTTCATTGACAGTAGAATGATACCAGATTAGAAAGCAAATTGTAAGTTATGAGAATATGTACATACATACTTTAGGTACTTTGGAAAGTTTTTAATTTGATACAATTAAAGAATGTAGTAAACCATCTAAGGAAGAGCATATGGAGTTGAAGATAACCAGGCTCCTGAGATGAGATGATTGTAATTTTTGAATTTGACTTTCAGTTTTCTGGCTGTTGGACTGAAAAGGGACCATTCCCTTCTCTATGGAGCATTGAATTACATAATATTCATTGTCTGCAGAAAGAAAGCATACACATTTGTTTACAGAGAGAGATTTTTTCCTGGCATTGTACTTAACAAAAAAGACATTTTGTGGAGTGTGCTGTTGTGTGACACAGTAGATTTTATTTTCAGCTATGATTTCACAGAAGACATAGAAACCATTCAAGTCAATCAATCGATGCTTTGTTAAGACCAAAAATATAAAATTGGATTCCCGAGGGCAAACATGTTGTATGAGGAATACTGAAGACAGTGTGACCTAGACACTGTACTTCACGGACTAGACTCTGAGAATCTAGGAGAAAAGGAAGTTGTTGTGTCCATTCATCTGCTACTGTTTCTTAATTTACTCATTTGGATTTTAATTCCCTGGAATTCTGAGCTTCTGAGCAGTTCCTACTATGATAGTTTAGTTGCTGTAGATTTTTAAAAATTTAAATCAGATTCCATGTAACATAGTAGATGACAGAAGATGTACAAATGAACAGACCTTTAAAACATTAAGGAATTATAGGGGCTGTAGTTTCTTAGTAATTTATGATATGATATTATTTCTGTGTTAGTTAAGAAACAATATACTTTTAGTTAATCTGCTAAGAGGACAACGTTTTTCTGCTACGAAAGTATAAGAACTAAATTTCTGCTGTAAATCTAATTCTTCCACAGGTGTAGGCATCTACACACAGAATCACTATTTCCTTTAGAAAAGAGAATGAGGATCTTACCATTTTATCTAAATATGGTCATGACCCCAAAGGTGTAGGTCCATGCTGTCTAATAAAAGAAAATAAATAGTTTGGAAAGGTGAGAAGTAGAAATTCCCTAACCTGTTTCTTAATCTGCATTTCTTGGCTTGGAAATTAGGTTGCTAAAAGAGGAAATGTGGACTACTATTTTTTAGTTTTATTGCCGAGGTAAAAGCCTTAGGCTTGTCCAATGGAACCATCCTTCCCGAGCTGTTCTCTTCAGCAATAGGCTCTACCATGCTGGAAAGAAAACTGCCTGCTCTACACCTGACTGTCCTGTCTGTTGGTCAGGAGGTGGAGCCAGTATTCTCATTGCCCTTCAGTCTCTGAGGACCAGCACAGGGATATCCTGTCCTCAAATACAGAGCCAAGGATTAGAAAGTTCAGCAGTCAGGGATGATTTTAGGTAACACTCACTGAACTCTAAATATCTTAAAAGAGTTTAGTCAGTCTCAACAAGGCCTGTTAGAGATGGCTAGATGTTCTCCCTATGTGCATGCATGCACATGCATTCCTATACACATGTACTGTTTTCCATTCTTAAATTTTGTAACTAGTGCCTCTAGTTTGCATTACATGTGCCAGATGCCATCCATACTCTGAATTTTGTGGTATAGATCATAACAATTTGTGTTAGATAACTGACATAAATATATTTAAGGAGTCTGTGTTAGATTTTTGTTGCTGTGGCAAAATACCTATAATCAAAAGGAAGAAAAGGCTCATTTTGTCCCTGTTTCACTTTTCAGTTCATGGTCCTATGAACCTGTGGTGAGGCAGAACATCTTGGCTTGAGGCCATAATAATAGAGAAAACTGCTCACCTCAGAAGGGCTGTAAAGCAAAGAGAGAACGGGATAGGAGGAAGCGACAGGGTCCGAATGTCCCTCCCCTTCAAGGGCACAACCCCAGTGACCTAACTTTTTTCTACTAGGCCTTACTTCCTGAAGGTACCATTACTTCCCAGTAGAATCACAGGCTGGTGACCAAAGCCTTCAGCACATGACTTTTGGAAGACATTTTGAGTCCAAAGGAATAACAGAGTCCAAGGGATTGGACTGGAATGTCTAGTATAAAAACTGTGGACTTCAAATTTCTTTCTATATTGGATGAAAGAGGTAGTTCCCCCCCACACACTAGAACTGATTTAGGTCTCTTAAGTTAATAAAGATACTTTATCGCCTCTGAGTATTTAGTGTATTAGCCTGCTATCAAGTACATTCTCTTATGAGCCACACTACAATGATCAGGATTAGGGAGTTAACATGTTAATATTATTTTACCATCAGGCACCATTTAGCATCTGACAGTTGCCCAGTATAAAGTAGTTCCATGGCAGAATCATACATTACATTTTGTTGTCTTGTTCCTTTCATCTCCTTTATTTGGAACAGTTTCTGAGTATTTTCTTGGCTTTCATGACCTTGACATTTGAAGATTGTAGGCCAATTATTTTATAACATTTCTCAATTTGGAATACCCCACAAATGATGTTGTAAGGTCTTTTCAGTGCGTCCTATCCAGGTGGTAAACATTTTGATTCAGTGTCTTACAGGTGGTGCCATCAATTTAGATTGTGACTATTAGATATCTCTACTGTACAGTTAATCTTTCCCCCTAATTAATAATTATTTTGTTGAGAGCTATTTTGAGACCATATCAATATCTCAGTCAACATATCCACCCCCTGTCCCAACTGTCTGAATTTCTGTTTCAGAAATGATGTTAATAGATTAACTCATCATAGACGTCTGTTTTATTCAGTGGGTTATAATCAGCTACCCTCAATTCATTATGATGGTTGGATTTACCCTGAATCCTTGGAGCCCAGAGGATTTTGCTCAGTTTTCTCCTCTTTGATCTTGTGGCTTCTTAATGATTTATAAGAGGCCAGGCTCTCATTGTCGCATTACATTTACTTAGGTGATTTATTTCCTTGTGTGTGATGAGTAACCTGTTGCTATCATTGACATTTTGGTCACCTCTCCCTTCCCTCCTTACCTGGCATGGGCACTGACACCCTCTATGCCTTTCCCTGACTAATGGCTTTGGGATTAAATTGTTCAGGAAGGGTTAAGGGGAGAGGGCTTGCTCTCAAGAGTGGGAGGATATTTTACTTAGGCTGAGGTGTCTTGTTTGGATCCTGTCACTGTATTTGTTCCTCTTGTTGTCATTGCCTTCATTCCTAAAGCACTTCTACTCTGTTAGCCAATTTTCATTTCTCCCCAATTACAACGAAGCATCAACAACAAAATATACCACATATCTTTTCTCTTCACAAAGGAATATTTATTCATCACAGGAAATACTACACTTTTAGTGGATGTCTCTTGGAACCTGTCACTTAGCAGCTGCTACCATGAGCCTTTGAATCCTTGTTGTTCTTAGTCATTCACGACTGGCCACATTGCATTTGATCTTTAACTCCTTACTGCAGCATGTCTTCCCATATTCAAAACTTGTGAGTCCACTATCACTTACCAAAAGGCACTCTTTATAGTTCTGATGTTTCTAACCTATTATTCATTACTTCTGTCTTCTTGCATTGCCATCGTCTTTGGAGTGGGACTTTCTTTTTCCTTTCTTGGTAGCCAGCTTGTTTAATCTTAACTCCGCAGGAGGATTGTGGACTGGTGCCTGAGAGATCTGGGTTCTGAATCTGACTCTGCTGCTCTCTGGCTCTGTATCCTTGCCTTTTTTTTTTTTTTAATATATGATGTAGAAATATATAATAATGTCTTCCTTGCTAAGATTTTTATGGGGATGAAAATGAGATAACATGTGAAGTGTGTGGCATAGTACATGATACTAGAAGATTTCTTAAGAAGTATGAATTTTATTTTCTATTTTGTGGTATTTGTTCCACAGTTCTTCCCTTGAGTGCATCCCCCTCTGTATTTTCCTGCTACTCCCATTGGTACTGGTTCCCTTAGTGCCCTGCCTGAGCTTTCTAGTCAGAGAGTGTTTCGTTAGCCTCTGGAGAGAGAGAGAGCTGTCAGTGCTGCCTGTCTTTTTTCATGTGTCACCTGTGGTCAGTGGCATGGGCAGGAAAAGAGCAGCAGGTTATGAAGTTTATTCAGATCCCACTTCCAGGGTAGTCTATAAAACAAGCACTGTGGAAGGCCTTGCGCAATATGTGCTCACTTCCTGTCTGTCACAGGATTTTAGAGTCATTAGTGTACCTGGTAAGCATTCCTGGGCTTCACTGCAAGCTCCCAAATTGGACTCCTGGGGATTGGGTCTAGAACTTCTTCAGATGATTTTTCTACATGTTGAAAGTTGAAGTCTACTGATCTAAGACTTGTACCACACTTCTAAAACTCCAAAGCTTCAGCAGAGTGAAGTAACCCTTCACTCTACCCCATACTCACTCACAGAATAAGGGAGACAGTGCTTTGACGTACTTTATATTTCTTTTGGGAACCCTCCATACATACCTGCTGCAAGGACCTGATAAATGATGACAACAGCAACATTGCTTTCTTCTGTCAGGCTGCCTGCTCTGACAGACTTCTCAGGGATCCCATTTTGTAGCTCTCTTAAAGCATTCTTAGATCTAAGTTGGGGTCATTGTATTGTTTTATCACATTATCTCTGGAGACATTGATTTCAATGCAGTTGTGGTCTGACTGTGTATGAAAACATGTTATTTACTTGGAAATGCCTTCCTTTAACCCCTATTTAGATCTTAGGTTCCCATCCTCATTGCTCACAGTAGTTCCCTCTTGCATAGTACTTTTCACAGTATGTAATTACACATTTATTTTTGTGTTTGTTTATAATCTTCTTTCACTACTCTGAAAGTTCCTTGCAGTTAAGGACTCTATATTTTGTTACCCCTATGGCATTTGAGCCATCCATGACA